TGTTCAAAATTTCGCATGATCATTGGTGATCAAAAATAGGTACTCTTGATAAAAATTGGGGGGAGGGGGTGTTCCTCATTAATAGTGAAAAGGGGGGATATATATATATATAAAATATATATATATATATATATATATAAAGTTCAGCAAATTGTAGGACAAGCATAACTACAACATTCAATCAAGACAATGGATTTGTTATCTATTTTTGTTTTTCATTTCTAATATGTGTAATTTGAGTATTATCTGATTTCCGAAGAACGGGCAGTAACTGACACTTGATTTATGTGTTTTTTTTCTCTAGGGAATGCTAGTGTGGTTCTTTGGTTTCTGTTCGCAGTTCAGCCTATAGAATTCGGGTAACACAGTCTCATCCAGCCTGTGGCTGCCTGTTTCATGTGACACCTCCGGGTGGATTAGCAGAGATGCACACGCAACCCTGACAGCCCCAGAATCCAGTACGGAGATGGTTGATTCTGCCCGCAATCGCAGGGCGATTATTTAGTCACAGAAATGCAACAAGCATCGCTTTGTATTGCATTATGCATGTAAAACAAATATACTGCAAACCGCAGTGATGTGTCACTGTAAGTAAGTAATATAATGATGGAGTTACTGAGCTGTTGACCACCTGCAGTTTTTAAATGAAACATAGTTGCTACATAGTATTATAATAGATTATAGAGACTCAAGGGTGTCAGTTTGGTTTGAACATTGGGGGGGGGTTGAAGTCTCCACCCATTTAGGGGGAAACATGATTATTGGGGGGGTTGTATTGGCTGGTTGTGAATTATTGTGAATTATTGTGAATCCCCACTGTAATTTACACCCATGTAGAGATTACTTACAGTCACTCTGTATGCAGTAGGTTCTTGTGTTGTGTTTTTCTTAGCAAAATGCATTTAGTATGTGTTTTTTTTTTTGCATTCCTTTAAATGTTTAAGTATATCCATTATATTGTGAATGTCCTTATGCATCAATCTGAGGTACTGCCATATCTTCAGGGAAAGAGTGTACGGTTGTAGATCAATACTTTTAATGATGCTAAAGTCACAGCATCCAATGAGCAGTGTGACACGGTGAAATGTCATTCAAAGGGCAATAGGGCTGGGCGTGCCGTTTCCTGTCAAGAAGGGGGTGTGGTCTGCGGGAGCTAAGGACACGCAACGCCCTCCAAACCGGACCTGGTATGAGGTCACCGGATGGCTGCTATTGATTAAGGATAGGCCCTCTCACATGTCATCAAGCGCGTCACTCACCACGGTGAGCTTGAGGACACTGGAATGCACGAAGCACATAAAGACAATTGTTTCGGAATGACCTATTGTGACCTAGCGTACAGAGGTGCGAGATTTCAGAATAGGGAGAAAAGGTTGGAGAATGTAATCATTCCGAACTCACTCGAGATGTTTATGTGTCAGAGGGCTTGGGGAATGTTCTAGAGAAGCGTAGCTCAGCTGCAAAAGCAGGGACACCCTGCCTGTGGCCTCCATTTCCCAATTCTTTGTTTCATCACGTCCCCAGTTGAAGGGGACGCCCACGCCGAGGCTCCACATCCCGTCTTTGGGTCACTGTTTTTTTTCCCCGCACCAGGATGAGGGGGGGTGTTCCCATACAAATGCTGCGCCCACTCTGGGCCCCCGACGCAGAGCCACACAGAGCCTTGGAGGTCCACGATGAGCTCCCGGACTTTCGCCTGGCGCCTGGGTGTCGCCCTTTTTGTGCTGGCGATCTGCTGCATGTTGGCAAACACGCTGCTCTATTTCCCCAACTGGAAGGCCAACTATGCCAGGGAGGAGAACCACCTCAGCAAATATGTGTGGAACTTTGCGGGGATCTCGGGCGGCGGGCTGGTGGTGAGTACGCGCTCCGGTTCCAGATGCACCGGCACTCCGCGGATGACCCAGGGTTTCCCGACCCAGTAAGCTGCAGGGTCAGACACAGCTGATCAGAAGCCACAGAAAGTTACTTTGAGATATTTAAGGGCTCCCATAAGGATCCCACTTAAACTACACTAAATACTATATGGAAATAGACACCATAAAAACATTAAAATACTCAACTACAGTATTATATTAAGGAACTTGAGTGTGTTTGCAGGATAACTTGAGAATAATGTCTACAAACAAAGTGTTACTTGGTAGAACTGCATACTAAAATTGGAGAACAATCACTTTTTTAAAGGAACAAAGAAAATGACATTCCCATGTAATGCAGGAGTCAAAGTATTGCCTTCCTGCAAATATGAATCAAATGTTTACATTTAAGTGGCTGATGCTGTCATCCAGGGCTAATTATTCATTTTGTCTGCTTATAAAGCTCAAGGGAGGTACTGCAGGGTTCTTCCTGACATAAGCAATTTTACCAGGGGTGCCGGGGTGCAATTGCACCCCCTACTGGTCAGATGGAAATGCTGTTGAACATATGAAGTTCGATAAAATTATTACTATTTTTTTTTTTACAAATGTATTTATCTGGATGAATGACTGGTGGGGGCTCTCTCACCTTACACCACCCTGGGAGAAAAAAATGGCCTGTGCTTCCTGGGAGATGAGGTCACAATCTTTATATTAAAAATCCATGGCCTTTAACAACAATAGTATGGGCCGCCCTTTAAGATGCATTGTGGGATGCAGGTAGTAATTGTGTTGAATAAGTGTGACACTGTGGGTCGTTTACCCAGATTGAGGAGACCGGACTCCCTGTAGGAAGTATACAGACTGCAGCAGTGGTCTGACAGATATCTCCCTGTCTCTGCCTGCAGATATTTCTCTCCGCTGCAGTGTTCATGAACCTGGACGACTGCAGACGCCGCGGTAACCACCGCAGCTGCGGAACAAGCTGCGCAGTGAGTCGGGGCAGTGACCTCGGAGGTTGCCGCAGTGGGGTCTGGGGGCAGTAACCAAAGCATAAGAGAGCAAAGAGGCTGCTTAGCACCCAGTGGCCACCAGGAGGCATCGTCATCCGATCAGCCTGTCATAGTGGGAAGGAAGATGACAAATTGATTAATCACATTTTTTCTTAGTTGGCCTGCTCTGGCAGTGAGGTTGACTGTGAAGAGACTGGGCCATCTATGATTAGAATGACTTTGACAAAAATTTGACCTTTCAACATTTAAAACAGCTCCCCCAACACAATAATATGTTAGCTGGATTGGCTTGATTCTAACGTTGACTGAAGTTGATGCCCAATTTAGCTATTAAATGAAGCTTTAGCACAAGTTTGGAACTGGCCAGGTTTCTGATTAACTAATCTGCTGCCCATTTAGCTGTTTGGTTCTGTGGCGGCCGCCCTGATTGGTCTGGCGGGCTCTGGGTATTGCTTCGTCATCTCGGCCATGGCGCTGATGGAGGGGCCCCCATGCTTGACCGACACGGAATGGACGTACCCGTTTGAGAACCAGGGCGGGCAGTAAGTGGCCGCACGTCGAGGACCGAAATGCAGGTTCTTGTATCGGAGACAGTGCGTTAAAGGCAGCGTCTGTGATTTCCGTGTCTGCACGCAGGTACCTGATGAACCACACCTTGTGGGAGATGTGCAAGGAGCCAAAAGGTGTGGTGGAGTGGAATGTGACTCTCTTCTCCATCCTCCTGGTTCTCAGCGGCATAGAGGCTCTCATCTGTGCTGTTCAGGCCATTGCCAGCCTGTTGGGGGGGTTGTGTAGGGGCTGGTGTCACCGGAGCCACTACACACTGAATGCCTGAGCCCCCCCCCCAATCCTACTACTGCTAGAACTGACCCTGAACAGGAATGGCCTACTGGGGTTGCAATTCCTCCGCTCCCCTGAGCAGAAAACAGATCCCTTCACTAAACGTTCTCAGGATCATCCCTGCATCCTTTCATGAACCACCTGACAGTATTCCTTTGTGTCTGTTTTATGCATTTATTATATTTATGTAAAACTAAACTGAAGTTCTGTCATTTTTGAAAACGAATGTACATGTCACTCTGTATTGTGAATTTTAAAACTGCATTTTATATTTTTATAACGTTTGTGCTTTCTTTAATAAAAAAAAAAACTGAAAATGAGCATTCTTATCATTTATGTCACTGTCCATCGAAGCGTCTCTTTTTTTAATGAATGCTATGCACTAGTGAATGAGAAATGCATCAGTCAAAATCAAAACTCAAAAGAGTTTGAGATTAAGGTAATTCTTAATTAAGGGTGTTTTCCTTGACCAACGTTCAGGTGACCTAAGGTATGGCTTTTGACAGAGATTAATAGCATTTGTTAGCAGGGATCAGTCATAATCGCTGAACTGTGTTACAGTGTTACAGTGAGTCAGGCGTAGGACACAGTGATGGAGCGCAGCCAGGCAGTTAAACACGACAGCACTGGACAGATGTGGTAAGAGGAAGCAGACGTGATCTGTTATTCACTGGAGCCCCTGGCTGAGTACTGTGCCACGGCCTGAGCTGAGACAGCAAACGAGTCCTCGAAATATGGAAAGGGCCCTTTAATTAATCACCACTGGAAGCTTCTGCCAGTAGGTCTAACTGTAAGCTACAATTTTCACAGCTGCATGTTTTATTGGAGCTCTGCTGAGAGTTTACTGAAGGGTACAACAGCAGGTCCCCTGAGATTTTACCAGCACGTTTATGGCTACATGGCTCAGTTATGCATGTTTCCATTACTTCCTCTCCCTTGAGAGATTACAGACATTAATATAGCAATATAATAAAGTCGAACTGTCTGTAAGCTCTAGATGTACAGAATAGAGGTAATTTAGAGATGCCAGTTATCTTAACTGCACACCTCTGGACTGTGTTACACGGGGAGAACATACAGACTCCACACACCCACCAGCCTCAGAGGTGTGAGGCAACAGCGCTACCAGGTAACCAGTGCAAAAGGAGAGAACTCACAAACTCAAAACCCCCCCGAGACAGGGGTGGGATTCAAAGCACCTCCCTCAAGGTGCAGCCCACCCCAGGAAGAGTACGCTCTGCAGCATTAATGGTCTCTAACACTTTACTTGAGGGGACACAAATAATGTAGTATTATGCTATTACTTATGCATTAATTAACCACAAACTAAGTCTCAGTTGCCTACAGATCTCATGTTCGTTCATCGTTAAATCGTGATGCATGTTTTATGTTTTATCGGAAGCAGTTACTATATTTGTTACTATATCAGTTCATTCTGTAAACTATTGTGAACTACTGAAGGAACTACTGAAGGAAAAAGTAATGAATAACACAAGTGAAATACTGATCATTTATTAGCATCATTAATGAATCGTGATGCATCTTGTCTCTCAGGTAGCTGCTATATTTGTTTACGATTTGTACTTCAGCACAATCAGGGTCATCGACTACGGAAACTGGGAGAAAACTGTCTGTAGAGGAAGCGTCTCAGAAAAAGCGGACTTTTCCGGGGCAGACGGGCGCTGGACCGCGGGTGGCCGCAGGGAAGAGCGGCAGCATTAATACGGCCTCACGCCTCACTTTTGGCACCTCAGCCGACTCCCCGGACTCTGACAGCAGGCTGGTGTTGTGGGGGTCGTGCAGGGCTATCATCTTGTGGTGCTTGAGGTGGGGCTGGTGATCGTGGTGGTGATGGTGTTGCGGAAGGCCGGCCACATCTGCAGTCTGGTAGAAATGAGAAACACGCACGGCCCTATGGTTACACACGCCGGCGGCCGTTTTGCAAGGCGTCCTGCATGCAGACACGCATGACTCCAGAAAAAGGCCGCCCGTCCATGTCACTCAGTTTAAGGTTTGCTGCTCTCTGGCAGCCGACATCTTGGCCTGTTGTGCTCTGGCCGTTTTTTTTAAAACTATCAGCTTCAGCTGGAGCAGCAAATCCACACCTCTCAAGGTTAAATGCACAGTAGGGGCAGATCAATAAACCCGGGGGCCCTAGGTATCTGATTGGTTGGTCCCACCATAGTTGCTTGGACCCACCTCCTCAATCTGATTGGTTATCTTTCTGAACCAATTGTTTTTCATTCTGCCCTCAGAACATTTTTGTGTTAGTAAAACTCCCATAAGATGTCATCATAAATACTCAGGAAGAGTCGCCGTAAAGGGAGGAAGGTTTTTATGATTCCAAAGGTCACTGAGTGACAGGGGCCCCAACAATTTGAAACATTATCGGATTGGGTGCCCAATATGATAAGCTATCACTGGGACCAAAAAACTCTGGCACTCAAGTGTTGCCAATTAAACTACCTTTTCCATTTTTCCTGAGTTGGCACGGGGCCCCGAAGTTTGCTGGGGCCCTTAGCTATAGCCTAGCATTGCCTGTGCGATATTCCGCCCCGATGCACAGGCTCGCTGGGGCCATCATAACGAGGCATGAAGCCATTCGGCCCGCGGTTTACGACTCACACCAACAATTAAAAAGAGCCTTACCACGATGTCTTTGCACTCGACGGTGGCAGCTTCATTGGGGAGCTGCACAGATGTGCAGAATATTTTGCTCTGTGGAGCATAGCGAGTTTTACGTTAAAAACAAGCGAGCAGCACCATGTTATGTCACATGATGGGTCTGAGGCAGGAGCAGTGGCACAGCACAGGTGAGTTACTCCCAGATAAGCTGGAGACTAATTTAATGGTTCCCCCCCCCCGTTACCAGAAGGACCCCCAGTAGCTCAGACGTCCTCCCATAGCCACATCTCCTCTCGTGTACTCACAGCAGTCGCGTGATCGCCGTGGGCACAGCTGTCGTCATGATCGCTGATAGTGCAGTTGGTCTCAACAACAACAAACTCAGCCAAAATCTTTGGCCCGCCTCCTACGATCTGCGAGTATTAAGTATGAAACATTGCACGCAAGAATTCACTTCCACTGTTTGCGAAATCCATGCCTTTTCCAAAATCACTCTTCCACAGACAGGCTGAACATGAGAATATGTGAGCTTCACACACACAAACACACAGAAGTATGTGGTTACACTGATAGCCCACTAACTTTGTTTTCTGGACCTGAGTTTAAAGTGACAGGGCAGCACTCACCTGTGAGGACAACCTTCCTACTTCCAGCAGGTCAAAGTAGGCTCTTTCAGGAGGAAGTGTTGATTTATCGTTGACAGCAGCCACTGAAACCTTGACAAGCTCCAGACCAGAAGTGTCATTAAGGGGCAAAAGCTCAACGCAACCCCCACATGGGAATTCACGTGACTCTGCATGAGACACAAGGTGACAAAGTTAAATGCAGTGATGACTGGTCAATAGGGGCGCTAGGGCTTTGTTTTCTAAAATATATGTATATTTTTAAATAAACAACAATCACTTATTTTTAAGTGTGTGTCCCACCTAAAATATGTTTCACCAGCCGCCACTGGCTAAACGCCACTGATTTTGTGGATCATCCAAATGAATCTATTGTGCTGGACATTCAAAGCATGTAAGATGTTCACCTGGCTTGGACTTGCACTTGAAGGCTTGAACTGTTAGCACTCCTTTGTCCCAGTTCAACACCACATCACAGTCTGCTTCGATGTTCTACATTTACACACAAAAAATGCAGTGCAGTTACAGTCAATAAACATCACTGATAAAGAGGTCCTGCAGAACAGTAAAGGAATCCGAACCAAAAACAAATCGCAGCAGAATCACAGAGAAACATTTAGGAAGCAACCTCAGCTTCAGGCATGGGTGTAAGACAGTTTGATATTAGGGGGACATTATAATTTTATAGGCAAATGTTTGTTTATAGAGCGGATGAATTAAGCCAAATTAAATATGCATTTATCACCCCTGCTTTTACAGTATCTGTACAGCTGTTTCAGAGTTGAGCGTTTCAGGTCCAGAAAGTAAAAATCCTGAAATGTCCACCTCTGTGAATTTCAGCTGTCAAAAGCCAAAAAGTTATATAAATAAAAATAGTTGATACTTTAATGATCCCTGTGGGGACTTTGTCTCTGTGC